TTAATAGTTGGATTTTAATGGATTCTATAGCTCCGAAATTTAGACATTCTTTTTCCAAGACTGCGATCCCAGTCGACTGTAAAAAAAGTAAAAATGTTTTGTTTAATATTTCAATGATATGGACCAGTAACATATTTTGGATTAATGTCGGAATAAAATAATAGTATTGGTTTGTTGTTGTTCTAGTCATTTATTTTATGATTTTGGACATTTCATATTTTCTGATCTGATTAAAAATATTGTTCAATGGATAAAAGGCTGAAATGTTACACACATATATTTTAACAACGATGATGCATTACTGATTTTAGACCTCAGGTGTTTTTGGACCAAATCTGTTTCAGACATTTTGGAGAAATGGTGGCTGCTGATGCACATGACAGTTCACAAGAGAGTAACCAAACTTTGCACAAACATAAAACAAGTTCGAAAATGGAAACCTTTGATCTACTACTTCTAGTCTCTTATAAACATTTGGAAGAAAGAGTCGGAAATGAATATACCCTCCATACTATGGTGGAGGTTATAAAAAGAGGGTTATATGGCGACTACCCCGAAAAAGGGGGTGAATATTAATTTTTTTTGGTAGGGAGATTTGTTACCGTATGCCAATACAAAATACCATAACAGCGAATTCGGTTGAAAAACGCGCTCAAGAACCCCAAAATATCGAAAATTGCAAAAAATGCAAAAAATGAACATATATTTATAATGGTTTTGTGGGGAGTTTGGTACCTATTAAGAACTCAAAACACTAAATTACAGCCAAATCTGAACCGATTTTCCGAAACGTACTACATCACTCTACACTTAATTAACGCCCCCCCCCCCCTTCTTGGTGTCAAGAAAGTCCCTTCAAAATTTCAAGTGAAAATCTCAAGAACTCTTGAAAATATAGCCGATTTATTGTGCGAGCATCAAGTGACGGCTAAAGGGCTTCTCAAACTTTAAACGCGTTTTTCTCTAAACATTTTTTTGCGAATGGCGGGCACGATAACTCAAAAACTAATGACCCAATCGATTCCAAATTTTTACACGTTTCTCTGTGAGTGTATAGCTATCGTATGAACTAGGATAAAGCCAATCAGTGAATATCTTCATTATGTTTTAACTTGGTTTTTGGTAAAAAATCGGCTATTTTCCAAAAATATTTTTTCAAAGTTCCGCCATTTTGTTAATTTTAGAGCGAAGTCAATAATCCTAGTTCATACGAGAGCCAGACATGTACTCTTTCTAACACCGTTGGAATTTTCGGATTCCGATGTTTCAATGAGGAGTTATCATGCCCGCCATCAAAAATAAGGACCTTTCTTTAATTACAAAAAACAACAACAAAACAATAACAAAAATTTTTTGTAAATTATTTTTCTTCTCTTTTAAATCTTCAAATATATATGTGCAAAGTTACAAACCTTAACAAGCATTGGTATTGATTTACCAGCCCATTGAAAATCTTGAAAAATTAAAATTGAGAATGGGTGGGGTTCCCTTAAATTTAACAATCGAGGGAAATTGGGAGTTATATCTAAAATTGAACCTATTTTCACGAATCTTAGCACACAGTACGCTATGACAAAAATCGTGCAAATCGAATGATATATAGTGACATTGGTGCACCATTTACATAAAATCGGTCGAAAATATATATCTATATCTGGACCGATTTTCACGAAATTTAATACACATCGTTCTATACTTAATTCAGTGCGTTATCCCAAATTTCGTGAAAATCGAAAAATATATAGGGACTTTGGCGCATTATTTACTTAAAATCGAACAAAAATATATATTCCAATTACAATAGGGTTCGTCATTGGGCCAAATAAATGAGCTATGTCAAATTTCATCAAATTCGAATAAAAAAAATTGACCTGTACCTTCTCAAAAGGAACCATGTGTCCATCTCGATTTCTTTTGCCTGTTACAAACATATGCACAATGACACAATACCCTGTACCACAGTGTTTTTTAAGGGGGGATTTGTTACCATATACAACTACAAACCATTGAGCGGAGCAGTATAGTCGTACGGGGCCGACCATATTAAGTTTTTGGTCCCCTTCATCCCAAAATTATTATCTGATCATCACCGAAAATTACAGGCGTTGTCCTTGACCATACATGGATCTTCAGGGAAAATTGCAAAGCGATCAACGCTATATTTCCGCCCTCTAGTGTGGTAATGGATTACTAAATAATATATGATTACGTAAGCGCCTGTAAATATTTAAGTGTAACTCCCACATCCGAGTACATATGACAATATAATTGGTATCAATTTAAAGGTCAACCGCTCCTCTTGGATATGCTATTAACTTCTGGGGTCTGTGTCCTTCAGTCTGTATCGTGTTTACAAATTATAATGGACAGACGGACGGACAAACACACGTGTCTAGATCGACTAAGCAAGTCGAGATATGACGATCGGTATACTTAAAGGTGGGTCTAGGACCTGGCAACATTGTTGCCTAGGGTATAAATACCAAATTATAGCGAATTCGGTTGAAACCCGCGCTAAAGAACCCCAAAATACCTAAAATTTGAGGGTACCCTTATATGGGGCCTAACCGAAAAAAATTGGCTTTGCTACCCAATTAGAACACTAACTACTAAATTACAAGCAATTCGTCAAAAAATGCGATCAAACCCCCAAAATACTGAAAATTATATATATATATATATATATAGGATCGGGAATGATTATTTCGATGAGTTACAAATAATAAATAAAACTAATATACCCTCCATAGTATAGTGGAGGGTATAAAAATAGAGAAAAATAGAATTTAATATAAGTATTTTGTAGCACATGAAGGTTAAACTCTAAGTTTTCATCGAATTTGATTGATTATTATAGACCAAAAGATCGATATTTTTAAGACCCATGGGAGGTGTATTAAATCTTAGTGCGATCTATTAAATTTTTGGCCAACAGTAGGTATTTGCATAAAATTTCACTCTCCTTTTATATTTGACCACCGTATACATGTCACACAGTGTGACATTTTTACTTTCTTAATTTTGAAGCATACTTTGAGGCGACATAAATATTAAACAATAGTGTTGCCAACTAAAAGACGTATAATACTCGTTTGTTTGTAGTGTGCGGCTAAAATTTTTGTATAATGATGACTATAATTGTTTTTATACCCTTCACCACACTGTGGTACAGGGTATTATGTCTTTGTGCATATGTTTGTAACAGGCAAAAGAAATCAATATAGACCCATGGTTCCTTTTTAGAATATGCATAGAATCACTTTCTGAGTCGATTTATGCATGTCCGTCCGTCCGTCTGTTGATGTTAAATTGTAAACAAAGTACAGGTCGCATTTATGATCCGATTTGGATGAAATTTGACACAGCTCACTTATTTGGCCCAAGGACGAACCCTATTGAAATTGGGAAAATCGGTTCAGATTTAGATATAGCTCCCATATATATTTTCGTCCGATTTAAGGTAAATGATGTACCAAAGTCCCTATATATCTTGCGATTTGCACGAAATATGGTATAGCATGATGTAGTATAGAATGATGTGTGCTAAGTTTCGTGAAAATCGGTTCAGATTTAGATATAGCTCCCATATATAGTTTCGCCCGATTTTAGGTAAATGGAACACCAAAGTCCCTGAAAATCATTTGATTTGCACGAATTTTTACACAGTGTATTGAATTAAGTCCAGAATGGCGTGTGCTAAGTTTCGTGAAAATCGGTTCAGATTTAGATATAGCTCCCTTATTTAGTTTCGCCCGATTTTAGGTTAATGGTGTACCAAAATCCCTATATATCTTTTGATTGGCAAGAATTTTGGTATAGCGTACTAAATTAAGTCTAGAATGATGTGTGCTAAGTTTCGTGAAAATCGGTTCAGATTTAGATATAGCTTACGTATATAGTTTCGTCCGATTTTATGTAAATGGTGGACCAAAGTCCCTAAAAACCATTCAATTTGCACGAATTTTGGCATAGGGTATTAAATTAAGTCTAGAATGATATATACACATACTATATATATATATATATATATATATAAAGATCCATAGCTAGGCCGATTGACACAACGTACTGAAGTTAATATAAATTAATATCTGGCAGGTTTGCTTGAAATCGGTTCAGATATAGATATATCGTAGTTTCCATATATAATTTCGACTTATTTATGTTAATTGTACACCAAATGGGTGTCTGATTGAGATTAAATTTTAAGCAGTGCAGCATACCGAATAGCGTGTGATGTTTGCTTTCAATCTATTTACCTAAATGAAATGAAATTTAGCATAGGCTCCAGAAAGACATAAAAATCACATATATAAGTTCGTTCATTTTCGTGTCAAAATTCCTTCAAAAAGAAGTGAAGGGTATCATATAGTCGGCCCAGTCCGACTTTACTACTTTCCTTACTGGTTAACTATACATTAAATTGGAAGCTACATACATGCGATGAGGAAGATCAGTAATCCGCAATACATGAGGTAGTATATTATTTTGGGATCGCCTTTAAAAAATACGTATTAATGTGGTGTGTGTACTACGGATGTCTCATAAAATCCATCTACTATTTTACGAATTAAGAATAAAGTTTATTCACACAATTAACAAATTAAACACATTAATTTTGATTTTTTACAACAAATGCTGTTTTATTGTTAACTTAAATTAATAGTTAAAAAAAATAAACCAACAAAACATTTTTTTTTTTCAAAATGGTTAAAATAGGATTATTTAATTGTTATGAAATATAGTACCTCATTTATTTGTTTTTTGGTAAATTATTATTGTGAGTATTACGACATAAGTCGTAATAAAAATTAGTAAAACGCCTTAAATATAAATAGAATTGAAAAAAGAAATGTGCACATGCAATGAAAGTATAAAAATAAATTCAAGAGTAGAGTAAATGTTTAAATAAATTGTTGTTCATATAAGTGTAATGAGTTTTGAGTTTGTTGATATTTTGGCCATAGACGTGGTGGCATTGATGCGTAGTATAACAGGACTTTGGCATATTTATAGATCATTCACATCCAAATTTTCGTTATCTTCCAAAATTTGTTTTCGTGCTTCCTCGTATGATGGTACACCCTGTGAAGAGAAGGGAAGAAAAAAGATTAATTGAAACTTGTATTCGTAGGTTTAAGTATATGAGGGTTAGTAGTTCATAATGTGCATGCATATATGCATGTGAAAGTGAGTTGATATATAATAATTAGTAATTACAAAAAATAAAATAAAATAAATAAGTGAGAAGTAAAGGAAAGCTTTTATGACCATTATCAGAAAAAAATTAAAATCCCGAATATAATGAAATCGTTATGAATATAATAGCCGCGTTTTTGTAACTCCTTTGCAGTGATTTTTTGTTTGGCTATCAAAGAGGTACTGGAAAATAGCTAAAGTGTAAGTGCACATATAAAATCATTGCATTAAACGTTCAATTTTTTGTTAACCATGCCAGTATAAGTATGTGTACAATTCTTGGCACAATCTGTATATACTTTGGTATGTGTTGCTGGTTAATACCAATGTGTGTGCATTTTATTGAATTAATATTTGGTGCAGATATTTTCTTCCATAAGTGAATCGATATCCAAAGTTTTGTCTTACCTTATTATTACTATGTTGTATATTCAAATTAATGATCTAATTATTGTGCTATTCTTTTATATGTATTATTTTCAATGAATCTTTGAGAATGCCATATTAAATTATATGCATGTAGGTACCAATTTGGACTCTCATAAATAGTTATAATAAAAGAACAAGTAAAAAACATGGAATGCATTCAAATTAGAAAACTGGCCTAGAACTGAAACATACCGAAAACCTGTATGGAAAAAATCCAAACGAATAGTGCCGACTATGTGATACCATTCAACACTTTGGGCACATAGAAGACATGCCCATATGTACAATATCATGTCGATAGAAAAGAATGAAATCGGACATAAATTAATACACCTACCATTCTGAAATCTATAAAAAATAACACGTCAATCGGACAGATTTAGCCTCTTTGGTATAAACTTAAACACATGTCATTCTAAACTCAATTCAGTACGCTGTGCAAACTTCGTGTATATGAAAGAAAAATAGCCTCTTCGGTGCAAAAATTATAAAATCGGACGAAAATAAATTTGAGAGTTATATTTAAATCTAAACTAATTTCAACAAACAAGCACACAACATTCTGGACTCAATTCTATACGATCAATACGCACAAATCATTATAGACTTAGTATGGTATGGTGTTCCAAATTTTGTTTTAATCAGATAAACATTGGCAGTTTAAAAGGTCGTTTACATTGAACCGGATTTGGTTAACCCAGTGGGTTTAAATTTTCAATTCCTTTGAATATATGCCAAATAAACCCTCATAAAGTAGGTTAACCCTGTAAAAAGTTCTAATGTATATGCCGTATAATGCACCATTTACATAAAATGAAATGGGATAAAAATGTATATGGGTGATATATGTAAATCAGAACCGATATGTGGCTGTGCCAAATTTCATCTCATTCGGATTACAAATGTGACCTGTACTTCGGTTGTCAGGGTTTTATAGCTTTGTGCAACCCCACAGAGTTTTCAACGCCAACGTACTTCGGTTGTCAGGGTTTTATAGCTTTGTGCAGCCTCCCAGAGTTTTCAACGCCACGAAATATTGGTCCTAGGCCCACCTTTAAGTATACCGATCATATATCGAGTGGAGTCGATCTAGACATGTATGTCCGTCAGTCCATTATAACTTGTAAACACGATACGGTCCAATCGTCACGAAATTTTTGCATGTAGGATGGGTTCTGGGCGAAGAAAATCCCTATTGTTACCGATAATGATCCTTTGATATTTAGGGGATGAAATGGACCAAGAACTTTATTTTTGTCTGTTTTTCTGGTCGCTCTAGAGGCCACAATTATGACATGATGAACATGACACTTTTTGTAAAGGTTGCCAGAGTTTGGATATAAATTAACTTTTGTGCGGATTCTCATCGTTAGGTATTATGTATATTTGCAAAAAGTTCGTTATAACCGAATTAAAATAAATAAAAACTGGAAGTTGGGACCGAATAAATAGTTCGTTATAAGAAAAGTTCGATATATCCGTAGTTCGCTATAAGAGAAAAGATTTGTATGAAAAATCTGTCTTAAAACTTCGGGACCAGGAAATGTGTTCGTTATAAAGAAAGTTAGTTAAAAGCGTACTCGACTGTATTTAGTAACCCATTAACACACTAGAGGGAGGAAGTTTTGCGCTGATCGCTTTGAAATTTTCCATGGAGTTCCAGTTATGATCAAGGACAACGCCTATAATTTTCAGTGATGAACAGATAGGAATTTTGAGAAAAAATGGAACGAGAACTTAATTGTTTTGTGCTCTTTTTTGAGTCGATCAATGTGTCCCAATTATAAGCCGAACATCACAATACAATTCACGGTGATATGTCAGTGTGAGGAAGAGGTGCTGTTGACCTCTAATCGGGAAAGAGGGTGCAAATATCACGGAATATTGCCCAGGCTCGGAATATAGAACAGCAAAAAGTTAGTTTCGTGGTAGGGTATCATAAGGTCGGCCCCGTCCGACTATACTGCTCGGTTCACTGGTTTACAATTTAACATGGAACGACAGACGCATGGTGATGCCTAAATCAACCTTAGAAAGTGATTCTATGCATATTTTCAAAAGAAATCATGGGTCTATCTCGGGAAAGAGGCCGAATCTTTCTTTGGGCTAACGTTTAAGCCTTCACAACAACGAGAATGGCTAGAATTGTGTCGATTTATGGTTATGTCAAAACATGAACTTATATTGATAATTTTACGCATAGATGTATGGCATCCTCCAAAAACCAGGAATACAAAATTACAGCCTTTTCTGATGGCAAATGCTGCTAAAACATTAAAAACAGGGATTACCAAAACGTGGACGCAATCAATATATTCCATTTTGTATAATTTCCATCCTCTATTTTAAATATTGTGATCCTTATAACGGACATCGACATAACTTATGGAAAAGTGTATAACAAATCTCTAATAAAATAATACCTCGAAAATGTTGTCGAAATTTAACCTTACGTGTACTGAAATTAGGCCATATTGGTCCCCGATATTATATTACTCATATAATGAATATTTCGAAGGGCGCACGAACTAAAAACGTTTTCATAATCCCGGTCAATATTTAAGGCATTTAAATACCTAATCGCCTTTTCTAATCAATTTTATTTAAATATTTCTTATTTAAATATTTTTGGGTCCTAAACGCATTTTCCCTAACCCACATCACAATGGGAATAGACAAGAGAGACTCCCAGCATTGTATTTTTTTCACTATTTCGACTCAATCAGAAGACCTGAGGGAGCTTGGTGTACCATTTACATAAAATCGAACGAAATTATATATGGGAGCTATATCTAAAACTGAACCGACATCGACTCATTTTCGTCTGAATGGTTGAAAATTGGGAATTTTGTGCACCATTTACATCAAATTAGATTAAAATATATATGGGAACTATATCTAAATCTGAACAAATTTCAACAATGTTGACAGGGAACCTTATATACAATTTTAACCTAGACTGTGGACGCACAATTTTCAAATGAGGGTCGAAAATAATATAAATCGACTTCCAAAATTCTTAAACTAATTTCGTCAAAAAATATTTCGAAAAGCCACATGCTTAATGGTATTAGATTTCTCAATTAGCAGCCGTTCCAAAAGAATTATTTATGTTTTTTAATTCTTATCCATCTCTACTCCTATAAACGAAATTGATAATAATATTAACTAATTAATTAGTACATTAAAATAATTAGTTACCTGACGATAATAATCGACTAACGTTAAACTACTATCAATTAATTTAATTTAAAATGTTTATTTAAATTAGTAAGATTAATGAGAGCAACAGCAACAATAACAACAACAACAAAGAATGAATGAAAAACTAGGCAATTAAAAATTAATGAAATTTAATAATGTTAATGTGTTAACGCATTACAACAATAACAACAGCAATGAATTAATGAAATTAAATAACAAATCATTTGTTTTGAGAAATTATAATTTAAATGCTCCATTTAGTATGAATAATGGTTGGAATTTTCGTGTACTAACCTGCCAGAAACCATCTTCCCAGCTGGGGAACATACGCTTGAAGACGCGCGGTTCATGATCTTGGGCAATGCGAATGACGCTGATGGTGTCGATGGTACGATCGGTGGGTTCCGATTTAATGTATTTCTAAGGAAGAATTTTTTTTGAAAATTTGACAGAAATAAATTTGAAATACTCTCTTACCTTGGCCATATCCAAAATGTGGTTATTTTCCTTTTCGCTGGCACCACTACCCACCCACATGTAAATCTCATCACCAGCATCAATGAGCATAACATCATCCATATCCAAATCGGCCTGTTCGAAATGATTGACTTCCTCGACCTTGATGTGGTTGCGCACCAAACGGCAATGGAAGAGACGTGGCTCCAAAATGGGTGCCACCTTCTCGGACAAACTGCGATCATAGACACCTTCACCGTTAAGGTCTTCCCAAAATTCTTCGGGTTCGGCACCTTCTTCAATGACTTCAGCCTCGGCATCGGGCCAGTAGTGGCCAAAACGTTCAGTGGCCATGGCCTTTTCAAATTCAGAGGCAGCCTACAAAATAAAAAAATATTTTATTCTACCTCCACCTCCTCCTCCCCCTCCCATTCCGAACTTACCAAACCCAACCAAATGTAGACCTTGTTACTACCATTATTGCGCACCAAAGCAAATACATCTGTGGAGGCCAATGATGCAGAATCAGCTTCCACCTCATAGGCATGTACAGTGGTCTCATCAGCACCACGAATATGGAACAGCTGAGGTCCAGTTGGCATGCCACTCAACATGGTCAACAATTTACCCTTGAACATTTTGATAAAATGCCTGGGTTCATGATTTTGTACACAACGCACCAAAATGCCATTCTGTTCCTTGGCCATGTTCATGGCATCTTCAAAGGCACGTTCCTTGGCCATATCGCTGGCTGTTAGACCCTCCCAAACATAGACCAATGTACCAGTTTCACCATTTTTCGCCTCATAGTGATAGGGTATAACGTAGGCGGCAAAACCCAAAAGTGGCATCTTCTCTTCATATTCCACCTCATTGAGAATGACTTCGGAGTCATCGGGTCTGGTGACATACTGGGTCAACTTAGTCAATTCCTGTTCCCCGCCGTCAGGCATAAAACCAATAGCACGGCCACCACGTTGCTTCAAGTTCTTCAACACAGAATCAACATCATCCACATCGAAACCGGACTCATCGGTGTCATAGCCCAATGCAGAACGTATCAAACGGGTGTGGGACATACCAACATCACGCCAGGTGGCAAAGTATTGTTTGAATGGAGCCGATTCGGCACCTTCTACGACGCGATGAATCTGAGTCCAGGCTGGGTATTTCTTGGTGCGCAAGAATTCCTGAGCCTTGGCCATAGAATCACTCTTCTCCTTGGGTGAGGCACCACGACCAACCCAGACATAAATGCCGGAACCGGTATCCAAAATAAAGCAATCGGAAGATTGTAACATTTCCTGGCGCAAAGGTTTCTGGGCAATGGTATCGATTTTCAATTTGCCACTGGCATCGCTGACCTTGTACAAGGTAACCGAGTTGGCATCGGTGGTCTCAAAGGCTCCATCTTCTTCGGCCACAGATTCTTCAGGTACCTGGTTGGGGGAGCCCGAACCCAAAACATCAAAGAAGTGTTGCTTATCCGCATCGGTGCTGTGTTCATCTGTAGCAGCAAACAAAAATAAGGGAGAGGGAGAGAGAAAAAACACAATTAAAACATATCACACCCAAGCATTTTTGACCCCACCTTCAACCACCACCTGTGGCTGACTGCGGATCTTTGGTGCTAATAGTTCGCTGTATTTAACACACACACAGTACGAGTACTTACCAATAATTTCCACTCTAGCTCTGCCATTATGATCTTGATCTCTTATCTGATTTGCGGCACTAATAGCCTTCAATTTTTCCACACGTTTAGCCTGGGCGCCCACATATACATAAATCTGATTACCAGCATCCAATATGAAGCAATCGCCCTTGTTCATCGACGACACGGACAAATTGACTTGACGCACACGTACATTACGTTTACCCTTTACTTGGAAGAGGCGCTTCTCACCTTGGGCATTGGTTTCGACATGCTTGAAGCCGGTGCCAACGCCACCCTGCTCATAACGTACACCTACACACATGAGGAGGGTACGCCGCACATATTTGGTATTAAACAAGGCAAGGACAATGAAGTTGACCATAATACGACGAAGTAGAAGATGAAGCAAGATAAAAGGACCAAGCAATATGAGCATGAAAGGAGAAAATAAAATTACAGGTAAGTAAGTAAATGTGTATGTAAGTGTATACTATAACGGACTCATAACTCCGTATGTATGAGTCCGTTTGTCGGTATTGGTAATTTGTAAAACGGTAGAATATTAAAGAAACATTTAACAAAATGACTGCAATAACTTAATTAGATTGAAGCGGAAAACTGTACACATACGGTTCGGTTTGTTTACTCCCTTCCTCTCGTAGGAATGGGATGCACTTCATGGCAGAATTTTACGCGTATGGCGCAGATTGTTAAAATCTGGCATATAACTGCATTCGTGTCAGTAACAACATATGAAAATTTAACGAAATTGGTCATAACGATTTAAACAAACTGTTACTTATTTCATTGCTTTCGTAGATGTAAGTAGATGTGGTTGCGAAAGGAAATAAGGTCTAGGACACATATGTGGGTGTGTAAACGAAGAGTAATTAATACACACATCTTCATGTATCAAACATTCTGAGATTCACATCGGACATTGTCGGACTCAATTAAAAACGGAAGCGACAGAACTCAAATCGGGCGAAGCCAATATTGAAATAAATATTTAATATTTCAGAAGCTGTAAAAATCCATAAGGAAAGGAAAGTTTCCTTTCCCACCACCACTTTGGGTATATACAAGAGGTGCTCCTAAGAACGTACAATAATATAAACCAAGTCTAACAAATTTATGGAACAATAGCCTGTCGATCGGACGGACGTAGTATCTTTGGTGGACCCATTGCTGTAAAACCGTATTGAAGTCGAAATGAAGAAATTTCAATCAATCTACGCACATGTCATTCGATAGTCTATACCCTATTGTTTCTTTGGTTTTCCATTTACATGAAATCGAGCAAAATTGTATATGAGAGTTATATGGAAATCTGATCTGATTAAAAAAATAAACAAGTCTCTAAGTTCGGCCAAAAATTCAAAATTCCTTAAGTCGATCGGGACATTTAAATGCGGACTATGTTATGGTGCTTTGTAATAGTTGGTTGTCCATGCTCAGAAAAAATAATGTTCCAAATTACGGACACTCTAGTTGAAAAACTTAAAGGAGATTTTTTTTAAATTAATTCTTTATTCACCAGGAATCCGATACCTCAAATTATTCTCCATCCCATGAGAAAATTCAGTTACAAATTCATTAATACAGAAAAAGAAGAGGAACTTTTTAAGTGGAGTTATATCAAAACTTAGACCTATATATACACCGAACAAATTTGGATATAAGTTAGCATTCCAGAACTCTTAATACAAAATTACAGTCCCATCGGATGGAAAATGCAGCTAAAGTCTTCCAATTACCGAAAATGTAGTGTGGTTCCGGGAGCTATGCCAACCTCTATGGGAGCTATGCCAACCTCACATTGATTTGTTTTGGTACAAAGATTTGACACCCCATAGGAATTTAATAAATCAAATTTGAGATGTAATTCGGTTGAAAAACATGTCCAAACCCCAAAATACCGAATAATTAGTATACTCATATATGGGAGCTACCCGGAAACTTGGGTAAATATTGATCATTATTAGTATGGAAATCTATTTATATTCTATGAGAATTTAAAATATAAAATTACAGCTAATTTGGATGAAGCACGAGTCCAAGCTCCCCAAAATACCGCTGTTTGGGATGTACCGTTATATAGAAGATTCCTTAAAGGAACCCACAAACTAAGTTAAAAAATAAGTAAGATCTTCACCGATTGGCTTTATCCTAGTTCATAAGATAGTTATACACTCCCAGAGAATCGTGTAAAAATTTGGAACCTATTGGATTATTGGTTTTTGAGTTATCGTGCCGCCATTCGTAAACACACAGTTTCGAGAAAAATGAGTTTAAAGTTTGAGAATCACTCTTGCCGTCACTTGGTGCTGACACAATAAATCGGCTATATCTTCAAGAGTTCTTGAGATTTTCTCTTAACGTTCTTGAATTAGTGGAGGTTCGAACTAAGTAAAAAAAAATAAATTAAATTTTTGAAACCGAAAATGGGGGTCCCCTTAAAAAGTAAACCAATATAAATCATGTTTAGTAGGAAGATTTGGCAACCCATGAGAACCTGAAAAATTTAATTAAAGCCAATTCGGTTAACAAACGTGCTCAAAACCCCCTAACATACCGAATAATGGGAGTTACCATTACATGGGGCTAACCGGAAACATGGGCCAATGATAATATTTTTATCATTGGCCCAATGAGAATCAATGGGAATCCAAAGTATTAAATTGCTCCCAATTCGGTTGAAACGCGCTCTCAAGCTCACCGAAATGGCGATCTTTTGGGTGTAGCGTTATGTGGGGGCTCGTCAAGAAGGTGGGCTAAAATATTAAATTGCAACCAATTGGAGAGAAACCGGTATCCAAAACCATCAAAATACCGGATAATGGAGGGTACCGTTATAAGTGGGCTATACTTAAAAGTGGGCCAACATTGATAATTTTCGGTATGAGAACCACACTTAGCAAATTACAGCCTATTCGGTTGAAAAACGTGTCAAGGTCCCTATTATACTGAATATTTTAGAACACCGTTATATAGGGGCTATACCAAAACATGAACCAATATACCCCATTTGCAATATATATATATATATACATATATATATATATATATAACGAACTTAAGTTAACACGCTATGCTAAATTTCGTCTCAATGTTTCTGGTTCATTGTTTACACAAATCGGAGCATAGTATAAACCTGAACCGATAAAAAAATTGGTGATCGACAACGACGTGAATCTTAATGATTATAAAGTTTATGTAGCACAAGAACTCAGGTCAGCCAATTATCAAAAATGTCATTTCTTTGCAGATTGGGACCTTGAAATGCATTAAAAAACCTTGACTGATGACAGCCTGCAAAATTGTTGCATTTTGTGCTCGGAAACCGCAATACATATACTTGTGAACTCTCTTCATATTCAACGTGAGACAGTTTTGTGCGATTTAGGGTCCGGCAAGGTCATATGACCTACATTTTTTCCGAAATGAGACAGTATCAAGAGTTTCCCCTATTGTTGTGTCAAATTGGTTATTTTCATATCCTGTGATCTGGAACAGTTCTTGATTGTTTTTAGAATTAGTTATAGAACAAGAAGACGTTTTAATATCGGGAAACACAACCATTTTATGTTATCCTCCATGAGGAACCGGAACCATAAAACTTAAATTTGTGCGAAAAATATCTTAAATATAAATTAATCCTCTGAGATTTTTCCCTTGCTCATAGAACTACTTTCGGTGTCCAGGATTAATACCGTGGATTTCGAGTTTATACAAAGAGACTTACATCCCCCTACATGATAACAGCATCCGAAGCCCCCCAACACATGGGAATATCACAAAATAAGAATGAGCCTGCGCCACCCAGTGGATAATGGTAACACTAAATAAGCAAGGACCCCAGCCACTGCACAAAAATTCAAAGAGACCTTCTTTCTAGTCATCGGTAGGGGGCTGCTATATATCGCATATGACAGACCGAGTAAGATGGCGGTGCTTTGAAGAAGCCCCAAGAAAAATAAAATGAGAAAAATATATGTATATATAATTTTATTTTTAAGTATCACATTATTCGTGCCATGCTATTTTTTGCTTAAAATTTTTACCAACAATTCAGTGAAATAATCCAAAAAATGTTAGCACATTATTCGTGATTTTTTAATTTTTTTACTCAAAATAATCCAAAAAACGTTAGCAGTTCATTTTTAAGATTGTAGCAAAAATTATATAAATGTTTCTTCCTTTTTTTGAAGACCTCTAAGAAAACTATGTTATACACACTTCATTCAATGTGCTTTTATTTTCAACAAGATTATATATTAATCCCCTAATCCCACCCCCTTTTTATTTCATATGTGAAAAAGTTTCGGTGTGAAATAATAATAAAAGAAACTGAAAACGACAACAACAACAACAACAACATTCACACGCATACACACACACCCACACACAGGGAATAATTCATTGAGAAATTATTTCCTCGAAATCCTTTTAAGTTTCCTTTAATAAGCCATTAGAAGAAACTTTGAGAATTTTCCCAACCATTAAGCACACAACAACACCTTCACCTTCCGATAAACTTGGAACACCACTGACGGCTAAGATATGCCTCTGCCATGGCAAACAAATCCAAAATGTAAACACTGGCAAAGTGGCAAAAAGTCAAGAAGTTTCTTTTGTAAAATTTTTACCACGAAGTGCAATATTAACACCAGCACCACAAAAAAAAACAATCCAGAGCTCTTGTACACCTCCAGTTGAGACCACAGGTGCATCCACGGCACTCAGTGGGGGAGGTGCTCGTTCACACGAATGTGAATGCATCGAAAACATTATATTCCATTCCATGTTGCAAACGAAGAAGCACAATTGTAAAACGCCCAATAAGTGAGCAGCGGAACAACTAACCCCCAACACCGCCACAATCATCATTGCTACCAAAGCCATTGGCAATTCATGGCGGGATGTGTAAACACACCAAAAACCAAAACCGAAAAAATTAACGACGGACGAAAACGTAACGTAACACCAACAAAAAAAGTTTTATTTATTGCCCAGCATATCTTACCGTTTTTAAAGTAGCTCAAAAACAATTGCGATTCATGATCCTGAACTTCACGATGTTGCACTGGACCGCCATTAAGTAGGTCATCAAGTTGCACGGTTAAAATTGCAGCAGCACCAGCCTCATCTACGGATGTTTCGGAACCCAACCAAAAGTGAACATCCCAGGAGAGTGTTTTGTCTTTTTTATTTTGGACAGTCTGTGTGTGAAATAAAAAAATGGAAAAAACAAATTAAAACAAAAAATGTAGAAATGTATGAAAACAAGAACAACAATAAATTTGTAACAACAAAATTGCTAATGTAAGTACATAGTTCTAGGTGTACGATAGTCCATTATTGAGAAAATATAAAAGAGAAATATTGGTTGTGGTTCTACGAGAGTTGATTGTGTATGTATTCCAACTCAGAGTAAAATTCTATGTAGATTTAGCCATGTCCGCCGGTCTGTGGAAGTAACAATGGAGCCCATGGGTCCCATATATCTGTGCCTTGTTTTGAAGGTTTCATTTCTAATAGAAGGGGCTTAAATTTGATATTTCGGGTTTAGGAATATGTAGGTTTTTTCACTTTTTCTAATGAGAATGTGTTTGCAGAGGTCGCAAAATCGTTTTTTAATCGAGTTTACGTTTTTCGATAAAATTAGAAGTCAATTCAAAACTAGATTGATTTTTTTCTGTCAAAAGAAAAATTCGACCTTTTGGTCTCGACTACGCATCTCTAATCAACATGGTCTGAAAACAACAGTTGCAGGTCATTTTAAATTTACTTGCCTCATTTTCCGACCTATGTTGCGAAGATGATTTTTACTGTGTATGAAAGTAGGCCACAATTTCGGAGAGAACCTCTTGACTCGTTGAAATTTTAATATTTAATTTGTCATTCCGTTTGCAACAGCTCGAAATATTCGCAAAGAGCTCATAAAGTATAAAATTCTTGATCAAAAAAAGTATATGCCAATTTAGCCATTAGGAAATCTAGATAGAGTTCGCCAAATTTGGTCTTGCAAATGACTGTGCCGCTCCATTTTCATTGTTTTTTAGTTCATTGAAAAATATTATCAATACAAGTCTTTACATAGCCCTCATATAAAGGTCCCTTCCAATTTTCGGTATTTTGAGGGCTTAGCCGCATTCCGGGTACTCGAAGGCTGACATACATATTTCCTGAAATTGCATTTCATCATTTTTAAGGTTTTAGCCACCAACGTGGCTGTAATTTGGTATTCATGTTTCTTGGGTCCAGGTCCATGTTTTCACATAGTATGTAAAGTGACCGCCACATTATATATACCTTCATACCATTATATATACCCTTCATTAATTAATAATACTAGGATTCCTATATTTAAGCAGCAAACTCACTTTGCAAGAATAATAACTGTACAAATAGACTTCAATGAACAAAAAAGAGAATAATATCGAAATATGGGAAAGTAATTCTCATTCAATTTGTGTTTTCGTATACATAATTATGAGTCTAAACTCAACCAGAGAGTCTAGAGTCAGCGACAGTCGTTCACCATGTGTTGCTTATTGGCAATGGCAAGTCCCGACAGCTGACGTTCGTGTCTAGTGGCTTGACGCTAGAATTGATTTCTCTTGCTCTAAATTGAGTTGCCCTATTTTAGGTAAAAATCAGCAGTGCTACCAACATTTCAATAGAAATTTATATACATATTTTCAAAGAGGAAATAAAAAATAGATATAATATCCATTTTTTATTATTTACTAGCGGGCCCGGCAAACGTTGTCTTGCATAGCCTTATTGTTGATGTATAAGTCACAAATATAATTCAAGATAGCTCAATATTAAGCTACACTCCACGATTTAAGATAGTGGTCTGAAATTTGCACATACATTGCTACTATCCTACGATATTTGGTATTGAAAATGTTCAATATTAGTTCGCTATTTAGGGTATCCCCATATAACGGTACCTCGCAGTATGAGAAATTGTAAAGATTTTTCAAACGGAATTGATTTTACTTGGGCAGAAAGTGTCCGTACCAAATATTATCAATATTGGCACGTGTTTCGGGGTACCGCTTATCCGAGGCCTTCGATTTGCGATTAATTCGCTTCTCTCTCTAGTGGGCGACTGCAATTCGGCCGCTTCTCCTATGTAACTCTTCTCGTTTCAGAAGGAGTGTGACGAAGGTTCCCACCGATTCCTACAACCCGAACCGATTTCTCATAACACGATCTGATTACTGCCGACTAATGCCATACGAGTCGACTCCGAGCCGACTACTTCAATCCTAGCACACTCCTACAAGCTGATTCGACTAATATAATCCGTACTGATTGCTACAATGCAAGCCGACTAATACAATCCGAGCCGATTACCTAAACTCCAACTGCGTCAACCAGTCCTACTACAACTCCAACAGACTACACAATCGAAATCGACTATACACCTGCAACCGACTGCCATAATCAGAGCCTATTATCTACAACTAGAAGCCAATTACAGCCACAAGTTATACCTCAATCAGCCCAACGGAACTAGTTCCAACGTAGCGAAAGGATAACCAAAAAATCTAATAACTCCATTGCATTGAAGATCCCGAATGTTACTCCCAATCTAAACATTGAAGTATGTCAATAAAAGTTTGTGGATCCTTGAATTGACCTTGGCTGTGACTGAGCTTACTTCAGCCTTAGATAAAATCACCAAGTCCTCATATCAATTTTCCAGAACATTTTTGTATTTTAAAGATTTTAGCCAAAAGACTGTAATTTGGTATTCCAGGTTCTTGGAGGGTGAAAAATATTTTTTAGAATAGGTTCGATTTTCGTTTTTAACCTAATTAACTTTAATTTTATATTTTTGGATTATCATTGAGTAGAAAATGTTGCGGCAAAAAGTGTCAATATTAGCCCAAGTTTCAGGGTAGCTCCATATAATGGTATTTCGCACAGATTGGTATTTTTTAATTTTATGTTGTGGGTTCTCTTTGGGATTAGTATTTGCCTTAGAACAATTATCAATATCTGTCCTCGATTAGGTATCTTGTTATACTATGGACGTTTTTATACCCATCACCGCACTGTGGTACAGGGTATTATGTCTTTGTGCATATGTTTGTAACAGGCAAAAGGAATCAAGATAAATCCATGGTTCATTTTGAGAATATGCATAAAATCACATTCTGAGTCGATTTATGCACGTCCGTCGGTCCATGTATTCTTCTGAACAAAATATGATTCGATTTGGATGAAATTTGGCAAAAGCCAAAGACGAGCACTTTTGAAATTGGAGAAAATCGGTTCAGATTTATAAATTTTAGACTGATTTTATCTAAATGGGGCACTAAACTCCCAATAATGGGGCACCAAACTCCCAATACAAAATTTTGCACAGCGTACTAAATTAGGTCCAGTTTGATGTCTGTGAAGATTTGTTGAAATCGGTTCAGATTTAGATATAGCCCCCACACAAAATTTTCGTCCAATTTCATGCAAATGGTGTACCTAGGAGCATATGTTCGCTGAAATATTGCAGAGAGTACTGCAGTTGGCCCGTTCGACTATTGAACTTTCCTTACTGGTTTCACAAGGTGTTGCCAATCCATCTTCATTTTCTACGTTTAATCTGCTATTGTATAGATTCCTGATTCGTTAGGTTCCACAACTCTACGTTGGCGTTGGGCTAGAATAGTCTGTAAATGCTCCTGAGGCATCGGTTTATAAATACCTATAGTTTTTATGCGATTGTGTTTGACACAAGCCAGGTTTCACTGCGTATAACAGAATCGGCATTAACATTGGTTTAAGTTTCGACGAAAAGCCATTCTTTCGACGAAAATTACTAAATGGGCCAAAGACCAATTCATGAATTATATTGTCATCATTTTAACTGACTTGAAGTATTGTTTGTTGTCATGACAAAACAACACTTACTTCTGCATTAAATTCAAAATATAGTTGGCACATCGTTTACCGTTCACTCGGATGGCTGTAAATTAAACTTCGCAGTGAACTAATGCATCCATGTTTTTGTTATTATCATATTATCATTATCATTGTTTTTTAGTCAAAATTGATTTATGGTTGTCCATTTATTATCCAATTGAGATGTAATTAGACACGGGTCTGTTATTTGACCCAAGTTCGAAACCTATTGAATAATTATATTGCTCCCAAATAATTTTTCTCCCGATTTATTGATAAAATGATAAAAGTAAAAATATGTTTAGAGGTACTTTTATATGGAGGCTACATCAAAACGTGAACCACATTACCACACATTCTAGGAGTGGTCGTAGTGTTCTCCGTCTTAAATATTGCGAAAAAAAAGAAAAAAACTATGATCAGACGACAACGATTATGTTCTGGAACACACGATGTGTTTTTTACACTTTACACATAAACTGCCCCTCAGATATTATCTTCTTTCCAGCTTATCACGTGAATTGAAGAATTCACATCATAAGGGCGTTAAGTGTGCTACAGAAATGTTCGACGCAAGTTCGATACACTTCTACCGTTGAAGTGAATGCCAGAACATGCCCGTAAGTGTCAGTCCGACAACTTTTCATTTGATCGAATTGTATATTTTTTTTATTTTTATTATCAACTTCGGTTCCATATGTTATATACGTCAAATAGTGGTACATATACATCTATTCCTAGAAACGATGTATTTTTACATTTATAAAAAAACATTAAATATATGTAAATTTATTCGCTAATTTATAACTCAATAAAAGAATCCCCTAAATTCTTTCTCCCCCGACCACCCAAAAACTAACATTGTAATACTTAAAAATTGAACACACTAAAATAAACTCCTACACCCAATAAAAATTTACAAAATTTCCGAAATGTTTTCTACTTCCTATCGCTGTTCAGTCAGTTATTCAAATATAGTCTCTCTCCCTCTAAGGAGTAGAACCGGAACTGTTTCCAAAACTTTTACTATATATGTTCTCACTTTTTTACACATAGCATACAAAAAAGAACTAAATGGCTGTGTGTGTATGTGTTCAAAAAAATGAGCGAAGTTCAAAGGACAAAGGTGAAAACTGCATTATGTTATGTTCAACTATTATGCGAAATTTGTATATTCGCTGTATTCATAAAAACTTTTACCAATATTTATTTTGTGTTACTATTCATGTATAGGTGTGAGACTGTGTGTGTGCCTTTGTGTGTTTGAAGATACTTACATTTAAGACAATAAAGGAGTCACCAGTGTAAAATTTGCCATAGTTATTTTTGGGATATGGTACTGGTTCAAAGTTCTGCAAAAAAAAAGAAAGAGAAATAAAATTGAGTTTTATTATTATTAGAACTTGTCAAAGAAACATATGTACATGTGTAAGTATAAATTTAATGTTGTATATATAAGTAATGTAATAAGATTAACTTTTGTTTGATGTTAATTGCACAGACTCGCTCAATATTTCCTGGGTGGATTTCGAAAAATCTAACTGGAAAATATTAATAACTATAAAAATACGTTATTAATATTTAAAAAAGTAAAAATTCCAAAAATACCGAATGTCCAACGTTATATAGAGGCTATACCATAACATGGGCTCATAAATCTTCACAGTTTGCAATCAACAGACGCCAAGATCGGCAAACAGACAGATATGAAAATTCGGCTTAGAATTATTTATGAAGAACCTGGAATACCAAATTCAGGTATTTCAAATGGAAAATGTTTTTATACCCTACACAACTATGTTGTCAGGGTATTATAGCTTTGTGCAGCCCCAAATGTTTGTAACGCCGCGAAATATTGGTCCTAGACCCACCTTTAAGTATACCGATTGTCATATCTCGACTAGCTGAGTCGATCTAGACATGTGTGTCCGTCCGTCTGTCCATTATAATTTGTAAACACGATACAGGCCACAGTTATGGACCAATCTTCACGAAATTTTGCATGTAGGATGGGTTCTGGCCAATGAAGAACAGTAAAGAACAGTTAGTATTTAGGGGATGAAATGGACCAAATATTTTTTGTCGGTTTTTCTGGTCGCTCCAGAGGCCGCAAATATGGCGCGAACATCGCGAAATTTTACATGGAGAAGGGGATCGGGCCAAAGAATAAGCATGTCTGTTTTGATAAGGATCGGTCAATATTTAGCGGTTCAAATGGACCCCGACTTTTGTGTGAAAAATTACAAATTTTGTATTCTATTGCCTATATATTTGCCCCTGAAGGACATAGACCCGAGAAGTTGAATGTATATACAAGAGGAGTGGTTGACCTTTAAATTGATACCAATTATATGGTCGTACGTACTCAGATGTGGGAGTTACACTTAAATATTTACAGGTGCTTACGTACTGAGATATTATTTAGTAACCCATTACCACACTAGAGGGCGGAAATATGGTGCTGGTCGCTCTGAAATTTTCCAGTTGTGGTCAAGGACAACGCCTAGTATTTTCGGCGATGATCAGATAATAATTTTCGGATGTAGTGGACCGAAAACTTAATTTTTTGTGTTTTTTCGAGTCGATCTATAGGCCACAATTATAAGCCGAACATCACAACACAACCCACGGTGAAGGGAATCTGGATAAGTAATTAGAAGGGATGTACTGAATATTATTAATATTCGAAGCATATGTCAGTGTAAGGTAGAGGTGCTGTTGACCTCTAATCGGGCAAGAGGCTGCAAATATCACGAAATATTGCCCAGGCTCAAAATAAACATCCCCAGAAAGTTAGAGTTCCGTGGAAGTTGTGTAGGGTATCGTATGGTCGGCCCGTCCGACTATACTGCTCCGCTCACTGGTTTTTTATTATAACCTCCACCATAAGGTGGGGTGTATATTAAATTTGCCATTCCGTTTGCAACGCATAGAAATATTCAGCGGAGACCACATAAAGTATATATATTCATGATCAGAATAATATTCTATGACGATTGTTGAACTGTTGAAATCACGATAGAGATCTCAATATTTGAGATATAGCCATGAATTTTTTACACTGTCATATTTGTTACTCCTAGGATGTTTGTATTGCAAATGGGGTATATAAGTCCACGTTTTGGTATAGGCGCCATATAACCGTAACCTCATATATTGGGTATAAACAATCAGATTTAAATTGGTATTTAGGATTCACTTCGGCTTATGTTTCAAGATAGTCCCAATAATCGGTATCCTGTGTCCCGTGCACAAAAAAGGAGACAATATATGCGACTATAGAGGAATTAGTCTTCTTCCCATCGTATATAAGTACTATCCAGCGGCTGTGCTGTGTGAACGACTGAAGCCAATGATCAATGACATTATTGGACCATACCAATGCAACAAATCCACCATTGAAAAGCCCAACGAAAAACACATCGACACATTTTACCTATTCATCGATTATAAAGCCGCATTCGACAGCCCTATCCGTTCAGAGGTGTTTTTTCGCCTTAACGAACACAAGGTCAGCAGTTAAAGTCAGAAAGGACCTATCGGAATCCTTCAATACTGAACGAGGATTCAGACAAGGTGACAGTTTGTCGTGTGATCTATTTAACATCCCCCTGGAAAAGGTCATAAGTGACGCAAAAGGTGAACAGAAATGACACTCTGTACACCAAACAGCATATGTTACTCGCCTACGCTGATGACATCGACATAATGGGTCAAACATTGCGAGCGGTAACAGTCACCTTTGAACGAGTTGAGAAGAAATCTACCAAGTCAGTAAATGGCGTGAAGACCAAGCTGATGGTATCAACGCGCAGGACGTCCAGTAAACTCGGACCAACTGTGGAACTTGGGAACTACAGTTTCGAGGTAGTCAAAGATTTTATATACCCTGGTACCGCCTGCGCAAAATACAGACGCGCCTGGGTCTATTTTAAGCTCGGCTTATGAAAGAAATTTCTGTCACAAGCCAGCTAAGTAAGTAGGGGATATTGGACACGTTTGGTGGAAATTTAGTACTTGGGGTTCTCATTGCATATCACATCTCCGTACTAAAAATGTTTAATATTTTCGCAATTTTCAGGGATTTTGGACATGTTTTTCAGTCGAATTGGCTATAATTTTGTATTTAAGTTTCTCATTGTATAGCACTTCCTTGTACTAAACACAATCAATATTGAACCGCGTTTGAGTGTAGCCCCCATATAAAGGTACCCCCACGTCTCTGTATTAAACATGATTTCGCTATCCAAAATTATCAATATGATCCCCGTTTTTTGTATAGCCCCATAAAACGCTAGCTCCCCTATTAAGCAATCATACTTTTCTCACGGTTTTTTCGGTGTATTCAGCGTCCTATCATAACATGAGTTTTCTCCAGGAGCTCCCGTTAATTTTACATATTTCGAATGTCATCCTTATAGTGGAGGATATAAAAAGTTCCGGGCCGAACTTTAAGACGTTATTACTTGTTATTTTTATTTTAAAAACAGGGAAATTTTTCATAAGACAGCAGCAGGGCACTCCCCCGAAATAGATTTCCGTATGCGTCGAGGGCTCTCATATATATCTCCGACCGATTTTATGAATATGGTGCACCAAAGTCCCCACGTTTATTCAATGGACATGACATTGCACAGTGTACCGAACGTGTCGGGTGAGATTTTATTATAGATCCCATATATATTTTGAGGTCGATTTCCTGTTAATCGTGACCCAAGGAGCGATTTGTCTGATTGACTCGATTTTTTTCGAATTTATTTCACATTTAGATATAGCTCTCGCATATTTTGTTTGATTTCCTATAAACACAACATTTGTAGTGGTGTAGGGCATCATATAGTCGGCTTCCTCCGACTATAGAATTTTGCCCAATATTTGCTGATTTTTTATTTGCTAAAGATGATTTACGTCAACCCACAATGTTATTGCTTCACAAATTGAAATAATAACACTAAAAACATCATTAATATTTCAATTGGAGCATTTTCAAAATCCAAATACCCAACCAATTGAAAACAAAACCAAACAAAAAACTGCTAAAGAAATTCTCAATAAAATCCGCAATAATATGATAATTATTTTATCTTTAATCTCATTGATGTTTAATTAAAAAATAATAATTATTTTTTTTTCATTTGCTTCAGTTTTTTTTTTTTTGTTTTTCATTCAACTGTTCTCCCTACCTCCAAACGCCAGGCAATGTTTTCGAGAAAATTAAATTAATTTTAATTAGCCAGCGAAAAAAGGGAAAAAAAATTACTCTGTACCACACATAATCTGGCAGGGGTACCACTGTCTGTTTGTATGTTAAATAGATATGTATGTGTGTTCATGTTTATATGAGCATCAACATAAATATTTAAAAATAGCTTCAAATAAAATAAAACAAAACAAAAAAACAACATAAAATCAAAATTCATTGGACATTTTGTGGTAGGAGTGGGCTAAGCCTATGATGCCATGATGCGAAAGAAAATGAAACACGTCTGTGTATAATTAAAAATTGTTTATCTTTCGACAGAGGGGAAAAATCTGCACGGTTTTTTTTTTGTTTCTTTTTGCCACCCTACAAGGGGGTCGACTGTAAATTAAGTTTTTTATTTGATTGCCAACAAATTGAGGCAAGTGTTCAGAAACATGTTGTTTTCGGACTCTTAATATGTTAACTCAGGAGGTCAGCATACTGATTATAAATTAAATAGTAAAAAATTCGAATTTTATAAAAAATTTCCCCCACTGTAAATGGTGCACCATATACGTTGCGAATGAACTTCAAATGTGTTTTTTGTACTTCTTTTACATCAAGCGAAAAATAATGATTGAGTTGTTGTTTTTTTTTTTTTTTTTTTTTTGCTATTGTATTTGAATATGATATTATTTTTCAATTTCACGCTTTAACAAGAGCCAATAATGTAATCCAACGAATTATATTAAAATGGTGAATAATCTTGAAGCTAACTAATTAAAGCCATAAATATAAAATATTTGCTCTACTGAATGAAAATTGAATATTTTTTTTCATTTTTATTTTCATTAAGAAGAAGATAAGAATAACGCAGTCTAATAATCTTCTCCGTAACTAAGGTAGGCTGTGCATAAAATATTAAAATGTTTCGCATTCAACTGCGGAACTTTTTTTGAACTATAAGAGTATTGAAGATTAACATCTGCTTTATCAACAAAAAAGTGAAAACACATTTTTAATATTTATGTATTTAAACGTTTAAAAAAATTGGCCCATTGCCAAACGAACTACTCAAATATTCTGTCAATTAGCTCATAGCACATCATTTTTCTGAAATTCATGACAATTTGAAAAAAAAAAATATCAGATAAACTGTAATGTGCGTGT